CGCCCCACTCCTCCTACACCCCATTCTCCTGAATTAGGGTTTGGGGGTGAGGGGTATGGGAGTGCCCTCATGGTGTGCCGTTCCCTGCTCCTCCTCCTCCTCCGTCTCCCTGTGCTGCAGCTGCCGCTGAGGGGGGGTGGAAGTGTTGGAGCCGGTGGAGTGGTACTAAGGGGTGGTGAAGGGGGAGTGGAGCTAGCGGTGTAGCAGCGGGTGTGTGCCAGGGGGAGTGGGATAGTTTGGGGAAGCTGCATGGAGGTTGCCGTCGTGTCGCCAGCAGCACCTGTATTCCGGGGACTTCGCCCGGTAGCCCAGTTGTAGCCAGCTGTGCCAGCCGCCCGAGGGTCCGTTGCTCGTCTGCCGCTACTTTAGCCGCGGGGCCAGTTACTCCTGTATGGCTTTGCCCGGTAGCCGCTGTGCCAGTGTGCCTCCTGTTGCCCGTGTGTCTGCAGCTTCAGCCGTCGCCTCCTATCTCCTCTCCTCTCACTCTCTCTCCTCCTCCTCCTCACTTGCCCGTTGTGACTACCACTAGCTTTGCTCGTAATTGTGAACTTTAAACTATTGCCTCTTGAACTTGTGCTCAGAATGTGTGGTGACATTATGATCCACCCTGAGCTTGTTCTATGCCTACTTGCTCTGCTGATTACACCCCACTTTGGCTATGGGGGTGTGTCAGAATGTTATCTTATGCTCTAGCCTGTAGTGGGGTGCTCTATAGCGAGTACAACCCTTCTAGGGTTTGCTATTTGTATCCCCATTCTTGCTAGTGCAACCCTCTTCTTTCTTCTAACTTTCACAGGCTGTTGTCATGTCCCTCTTGTGCATTTGTCTGCCTGAGCTGATTTTTTAGCTCTTTTTTTGGATAATAAAGCGTGGATAAGTTTTAATTGTCTATATTCACTCGCTATGCATCTAGGTTTGCTTAGAAAGGATATATCACATGTAAGCTACACTAAATTCTTATTATCTTCATGTTTGTAACAGAAATGCCTAACTTTGTTCGCGGTTGGTCACATTCTTTATGGTCTAGGCTGTGAACCCGGGGAATCTTTGTCGGTACGATGTTTGGCGGAAATTGAATGCCCATACATGCTCATGTGGTGGAGGTCTAGCCCCGCTCACTGCCGGGCTCTATTTGAGTCAACGTCACTGGAGCGGCTCATGTGGGCACTCAGCAACCGCCTTCAGAAAAATCATGTTCACTGCTGGCAGCACGCCGGCAAGGCTGGCGCCAGCGGGGAGCGGAAAAAAAGGTATTCGTTTTCTTGGTTATTCCTTGGAATGATTCGATTCGGAAATTCGTCCAGAAGCATTCTCGAGTCGGGTCTCACAGGATCGCTGCTGAGGATAAAATCTTGCCATTTCTTTCCCCTCTCATCTCATGACATTGTCACCGCACCTCATATTCTCTGCAACCACACCTCTCCTTGCTTGAAACACTAACAACCATTTTTGCTGTGCAACGAGGGATTCTCCACGCGCGCAATTACCACCAGAATACTATCATGGTCACTATGATGACCGGATGTTCGTCCTGGTTTTTTATGCTACTCGCCTTGCTTCCATAGCTGACGACCATCCGCGCAGGTTCAGTGGCTCAGCTGGTATCGGTCCTGGAATCAAAGGGTACAAATGCCACCATCGTGGAGCGTATGTTTGCGCTCGGCTGCACCTCGGTCATCTCCGGAGTGACGATTCTCCTCCCACGGCTGTATGACTTCGAAGAGGCATCTGAATCGTACCCCAGCATGACAACTTAACGCGGAAGTTCAACAAGGCGATAGCCAATGCCCTTTTGACCATGACCGCCACGGGACGTTCCAGCGCGGAGTGGCCCGTGAAGACAGATCCTGCTATTGCGAAAGCGATGATTGATATCTGGAGATTCCAGTCATCAAGCAATATATCCCGCCCATACTAAGACCAAGGTGAGTCGCACATGCCGTCTGAAGACTTGGACTCACTTTGGACCAAGTTGAGTCTTTGATAAATGGATAAATAGACGGATAAAATGCAAATTGATCAATGCCGTCTGAATTAGGTAAGCGATGATTCCGGGCTGCAGTGTTGCACCCAAAAACACGCTTAAGCCAGAAACCGTGATCGTTTGACTCAAACGAACAGGGTGTTCGAAACACCCTATACAGGGTGTGCAACATTGCGCAATTCAACCCTCTGTGTATCACACCCATCACGCCCTTGATACCCTCCAGTACGTATTCGGCGGGCCGTGGGAGCTCCCGACCATGGAAGACCAGCCTCTGTGGATGTCTCATATGAGCGTTGATGCAATCATGACATGCAGCATGTGGAACATCTCAGGCATGTCTCCTCAGCAAAGGGCCAGCAGCGGGCCGGTGCCACGAGATAGCCGAGGATACATGATGCTCGATGGAAGCCCGCTCGCGTTCACTGAGCAAAACACGTTTGAGGACCTCTTGGTGGATATTCTTGATGGCGAGGTTGTGGTGTATCGCAGCGCGAGGGCTCTTTTCCCTTATAATATGGATGCTATTGGCGCGTATGCAGGTAAGCTCGCACAATTGGAGCCTCTTGGAGTTGCAAAACACAAGCATAAGCACAATTGTTACATGCTCACATGCTCACAATTTGATTTTTCCATACAATGCGCTAAGATTCCATTACCCTATGTTGCCATTTCCTGCAGACAAAACCACTGCTTCCATTCTTCATATACTTGCCTCTGTTGGCCTTGCTCTCATTGCCTTCTTGATGGTGTAACCTCGCTCCTGATGTTACCGCATCTGATATCATGGTGCCATGGTTATGGCCATGTGCTTTCTGATTAGCATATGCATTCTTACGGCTTGAGAGGGTTGGGTAGCTAAGGTAGTGGCTTGTGCAGGTTGGGTAGCTAAGGTAGAGTGCATGATGCACAGGTGGAGATCTTGCAAGTACATTATATGGCTCTGTGCACCACTGTAGCAGCCACACAACAACTTTGCACTTTATTTATTGATGTATGGTTGTGAATGGGACCCTTTCAATAACTGCCTCCCTCATGCATGGTAAATTTTGGCTCCGATCCAAGGGGGATGAGAATAACTTGAAAAGGTCGCTCCCACCCTCCTATAACCATCACTACTGTAAGAACATTCATTTCACACAATAAGAGGGGGCTGATATTGAATTTTCTTACACTCTCCTCTCCCCTACAGAAACATATACCATTCAACTATCAGGCACCAGTAGCCGCTAGTAGTAGACATTTCGGCCAGGCCTCGCATCGCATCGCACACCAATTTCGCCAGTGCCTGTCTGCTCCTCAAAGTATTGGGAGAGCCTTTTGCATTTCAAGAGCTCCACCTACTTGTCACAACGCTATCCAGAGATGCAAAATGAAGCAAGGGGCAATGCTAACCTCACAACAACCTTTCCACTGGCTAATGGCCTACGAGTTACAAGCATTATCACAAGCCATAGCCTCAGATCGTATCGCAACCAGCCCTATCATACTAAAACTAGCCTCGAGGTCCGGGGCCAGGCCTTGGGGGACCATATTGCCCAGGCCCGAGGTACAGTTGGGGAGGGGAGGGTTGGGGTAAAAGTCTGGAATACTGCTGCTGATGTGGTGGACCTGAGGGAAAATTTGGGTACTGTTGCTGACCGCCTGAAGAACCACCTGGGTACTGCTGTTGATGCGGGGAAAACTGCTGCAACGGGAGCTAGGCTACGGGCTAGGCACGTGTGCTCGTGTGATCTCTGCGTTCGTTCACTTAGTCGTTTCCTTGTGTTCACGCTACTTGCTAGTTCACGGGGAGAATTGGCAAGAGTTTCACTAGGAAAACATGACAACAAATGATTGCAACAACATTGGCATCACAGACTACATCAGAGCTAGCTAGGCTGCTGGTCGACCTCTAGCGCAGCAAGGTCGACCCCGCTCCAGCGCAGCAGCGCTCGCTCACTCCAGCATTGCAGAGTAACGACGCGCCAACGTTGCATGTCCATGGTGTGCCAACGCTGCAGCAAGTCAGTTGCACAGCGTTGCACCCGCAGGACAACGGTGCACCTGCTTCGCAGGTGCGCGCAGCTGGTTGGCGCTCCACACCTTGTCACGAGCACAGCGCAGATGTCTGGCAGACTCCACGCCAGTGACTGCGCCCACCAGCCACGTCGACCTCGGGATACTACCCCCGAGGTCGGCCTCGCTGACTCCACCCCGGCGACACTCGCGCACGTCGCCCGGATATCCCGGTCGACTGGGCAACCACGCCTGGTCGACCCACGTAGTCCGTAGCCGCCCACGCATGCCCGGCGTCCCTAGTTCGGCGTCCAGGCGTCGAGGACGCCGTCCAAACCCTGAGGTCGGCGTCCAGATGCCTAAGACGCCGTGCAGACCTCCAGAGCGGCGTCCAGCCTCCCAGGACGCCGATCAGACGCCCAGGTCGGCGTCCGGGCCTCCAAGGCGCCCAGGTCGGCGTCTAAGCCCCCAGGACGGCGTGCAGACGCCCAGGGCGGCGTCCCAGGCTCCTAGGACGCCGTGCATACGCCAGGTTGGCGTCTGGCCTTCCAGGACGCCGTGCAGGCGCCCACAACGTCGACCGGGAGCCCGGGTAGTCGTGGCGACGCCCAGCTCGGCGTCCAGCTTCCCATGACGCCGTCCAGGCGTCCAGGGGGGGGGCATCCTCCTGCTCGGCGCCCTCCAGCCAGGCGTCCTCCAGCTCGGCACCCCTGCAGTGGCCCACGTGCCCACTGCTGCAGGTCGGCTGCAACCCCCGCGTATCCGGCCACAAGGTTGACTCCGCCCAAGCGAGGACGGGGCCTAACAACACTCCCGTTGACAGTTGAGCACCTGTGGGGGCACCTGAATATTGTTGTGGGGCACCTGGGTACTGTTGTGGAACACCAGAAGGACCACCTGGATACTATTGTTGGGCACCCAAGGGACCACCAACGTACGGCGGAGGAGGGCCCTGCTGTGGTGCATACTGAGAGTTGGGCGGCATGTATGGCTGTTGGTGATACTGCTGCTGCTGTGGCTACTGATAGTGTTGCTGCTGCTGGTGACCCCTGGGCGGAGGAGGGTATGATCTCGGATACCCCCCTTGCTGCTGCTGATAGGCCCCTGTGTGAAGGGGAGGAGCTCCTGGGGGAGGCATACCTGGTGCGGGCTGGTAGGGCTGGGGAGGGTGGGGGGAAGGATATGGAGCATGGCCAGAGGGAGGGTAGGCATGCGGTGGGTATTGGAACGGTGGAGCAGCAGATGAATCCCCACCGCCAGTAGCACTGTCACCCCCTTCCACTCCCCCTCCTCCTCCTCCTCCTCCTCCTCCTCCTCCTCCTCCTCCTCCTCCTCCTCCTCCTCCTCCTCTTCCTCCTCCTCCTCCTCCTCCTCCTCCTCCTCCTCCTCCCCCTCCTCTTCCTCCTCCTCCTCCTCCTCCTCCTCCTCCTCCTCCTCCTCCTCCTCCTCCTCCTCCTCCTCCTCCTCCTCCTACTCTCCCTCCACCTCTCCCTCCTCCTCCTTCCTGGAACAGTGGAGCAGCGGATGCAGCACCCCCACCAGCAGCACCGTCACCACCTTCCCCTCCCCCTCCTCCTTCGCCTCCCCCTTCCCCTCCCCCTCCTCCTCCTTCCCCCTCCCTGCCACGAGTGTGTGCCTCCATCCTCTCGACGATTCATAGATGGATACATAGAAAACAGACATCGCCGGACCTACTGCCACAGCCCGAGGCAGCAACCCGAAGCTGGCCCCAGCCGAACCCTCTCCCGCACCACTCCCCCCAGCCGCACCACCCGACCCCCCTCCATCCCCCCTTCTCCCCCCTGCGCCCCCTCACCTCCCACTCCTCCATCCCCCCCACCCGCCCCCCCCTCCGCTCCCTTCTCTCCCTCTTCCAGCAATCGCTTTCCTCCCCCATCTCCCCCTCCTTCCAAAGCCCCTCCTTTGAGTCACCCCCAGTCTACCTTGAGCAAAATCCCTTTCACAATGAGCTTGTTGGCGAGGCCCTCAGCGGCCTTCTCGGCATCCTCGCTGGTGGTGAAGGTGATGAGGGCACATCTATGCGGGGTGATGAGACGGATCGACTCGACCTCGCCGTACAAGTAGAGCTTGTCCCTGCCAAGCCATGAGGAGGAGCGAGGTGGGGGGAGTCGGGTAGGACCGGAAAGGAAGAATGGAAGATCAGGGCAAAGAAGACGGGAAGGCTCAGACTCAAAGGAGCATAATGATATCGCAGTGGCACATGAGAAAGGCAGGGCAAGAGGAGGGGAGTGGGGGGTGTTGCATGGGGAATGGATGGAAATCACCAGGTCGACGTCGACTTGTTCAGGGAAAGTCAACCGAAAGTTGTACGTGTTCGTCGACCACCCAAGTCGATGACGACCAACCGACTTCACTAAGTCGGCCACTCCCCAGGTCGGCGCCACAAAGTCAGCACCTCCAAAGGTTGGCCTCGCCAGGTCGACCACCCGAACTCGGCGCCCTCCAAGTCGGCGCCACCCCTCTTCGTGCCCGTCGACTGCCCAGGTCGACGACCACCATCGGCCAACCACACCAAGTCGGCTTCACCAGGTTGTCGCCCTGCCAGGTCAACCTCCCAAGTCGTCCTCCCGAAGTTGGCGTCGTCCACTGTTGCTAGACGGATACACCTCCCACTCACCCGACCACGGAGTCAGCTCTGCCCGAGCGAGGACGGGGCCAACATCCAACTCACGTTGACATTCCCCTGCCGCGTTCACGCTTGGGCCTCCAGCCCACACGACAGCACTACTCAGATAATAGCTCGTCTATGTGCGCACAACATACATCACATCGGTCACCACGGCACCTACTGCTGCACGTCATCATCACCGTCGCCATCGTCAGCCAGGCGCACTTGGCCGATTGTGACGGAGCACCGGTTGAAGGCCAGAAAATGCAACGCCTTTGTCAGGAAGTCAGTCGGCTGCTCGGTGGTCGGGATATACTTCAGCGTGAACTTCCCGCACTTCACTATGTGCTGCAGCTAGGATTGTTGCCGCTCCGTGTGCTTCAGGTTGCCCGTCAACCTCATGCCCTCGGTGGCCGTGATGGCTGACTTGTTGTCTACCCGAAGGATTCTCCAGCTGCCGGAACTCTGCAAGAAGGAAGTGAAGGCGGCGTCCCTCCTTGCCGGCTTTAGTGGTCGCCCTGTACTCTGACTCGGTCGACAAAAACGTCGTGCGCTTGATGCGTTGGCTCGATCAGGAGACCGCGGCCCCTTCGTAGACAAACACGTAGCCGTCCGTGCTCGTCCGGTTCTACTTGTCGCGAGCGTCGTCGGCATCAACGTAGCCAATCAGCTCCAGCGGCTCTGATCCTACACCGAACTCCAGGGCGGTATCATGGGTGTTGGCAAGGTAGGCGAGGCAGCGGTCGACCTCACCCCCAGTGCTAGTCGCTCCTCACCATGAGACCGCTCCCCAGCTTGCTGCAGGTGAAGGCGATGTCTGGCCTCATTGTCGTCGCCGCAAACTGCAGCAAGCCGACCTTCTGCCAGTACTCCTCCTCCTAGCGCCCTTGTGCCTCCTCGTCGTCGCACGTCAACTCGGCGTAGGCGTCGACGGAGACGGGCATCTTTGAGGTACGCCCGGTCTGCTCCTCATCGATGAACCGCCTACACTGCTTGTCGGCGTAGTTCTGCTGGTGCAGCCACAACTTCCTCGCCGGCCTGTCGTGCACGATCTCTAGCCCGAGGTACTTCTCCACCGGTGAGATCTCGCGCAGCTCAAAGGCGGCCTCCCGCAGATCCTTCATCTACGCGGTGCTACTGCTGGCGGCGAGCAAGTCATCAACATAGACCAGTACCCAGTAGGCCACTGTGTCATCGCCAAGATTGAAATAGAGAGCCTCGTCGACCTGGCTCTTCTTCCACCCAGCGCCGACCAGCACGTCATTGAGCGCCTTGTGCCATAGCAACGGCGACTGCTTCAGCCCGTATAGGCTCTTCAGCAGTTTGCACACCCCACCGGTCCAGTCATTGTAGTAGTCCAACTGGTACATGTACAATACACGGTCCAGCTTGCTCTGGAGGAAGGTGTTCTTCATGTCGAGCTGCATCAGGTTGAGGTCAAGGACTGCGATGATGCTGAGGAAGATCCTAAGCGTGACGTAGCTGTTCACCGGCGTGTACATCTCGTCGTAGTCGGTGCCATACACCTGCGTGAAGCCCTTCATGACCAGTCTCATTTTCTCCCGGGCGACCGTGTCGTCAGCGTGGTACTTTGTCATTAGCACCTACCGATTTTTCATTATGTTCACCCCATGTGGGCGTTCAAGCAGCTCCTAGGTGCCCATGTTGATGAGCCTGCGGATCTCCTCGTCCATGGCGGCCTTCACCGCCTTGCCCTTCCAGCTCGTCAACGTGAAGATATTCCTCAAGTCGCTTGACGCCTTATACGTCGCGTTTGAGAACTACCCCAAGCATGATAACGCCACGCGCAAGTTCGACCACGCGATCGCAGACGCGCTCACGTTCATGTACAAAGGGGGCATGTACAGGGATAAGTGGGTCGTCGGTACAAACATCTTCGATGCGGTTGCGAAAGCGATGCTGGACATCTGGAAGTTTCAGATCGTAAAGCAGTTTATCCCGTTCAAAGTTGCGAAGCAGAAGGTGAGAATTTGAGCCGCCATACATCATGCCTGGACCGGGGTGGGCCGTAATGGACTGCAATGGACCGCATTGAGTATGTTTACGCATCTGGAAGAACGTGAGTGCAGTACATCCTAGCAAATCAAGCTTCCCAACAAGGCTTGTAAAGTAGAAAACGGAGTCACTCCGTTTGGAGTGACTGTAAAGTGGAAAATGACAGTGGGTCCTCGCATTTGAGAGTTTGAGAACCGATCCTACTGCGGCATTCCGCCATACCGTAGTCATTATTCAGCCGTTGATCCGCTCCCATGTCTCGCCCTCCCTGCCGCTCTATTCCCCCAATTCCCAGTACTCATCTATTGGTGGACATTGGGAGCTCCCAACAATGCAAGGACATCCGCTCTGGATGTCGCACCACCTGGTGTATCGCAGATCATAGAACGACTCGGGCATGTCTCTTCAACAAAAGGCCCGCTTGCCGCTTCCGAGAAGCAAGATCATCGACAAATATGGCTATGTGGTAGATGATGGAACCCCGTATGCAACCACAAAGGTGGAAAATGATGTCTTGGTGGATGATCCTAGCAACGAGGTCGTGGTGTACAAGAGCAATGCTATTCTTATGCCTTATAACGTGGATGCTCTTGGCGCGCATGCGGGTACCTACTCACACGCATGCCCGCGTGTGCACGCACACACGTACGCATGCACGCACATACGCACGCGCGCGCGCGCGCACACACACACACACACACATTTACGATCTTGCATGTACGCACGATGCACCTGAGTAATCCAAACAAACTAGATGCAGCGCCACTTGATGGATACATACGATGCCCTAATATCTTCCACCTGCTTGCCTCCATTGGCCTGGGCTCTCACTGCTCTCCTACTTTTGTAACCGCACTCCTGTCATTTCAACTGCAACGTGTTATCGTGACATGTCATGCTCATCAATTAAGAACATGTGATGCACTGGATCGTGCAGGGCCCAACCCTTGCTCATTCCTCACGTCAAATATGTACATGGCATGGTTGCTTCGTGTCAGAGGTCCACTGGTGATACTCGATTGATATTAGGGAAGAGTTACAGGCACGTCGGCCTTGGGGGGTATGGGCGCACTCACCCGCTACACAAACAAGCCCTTTTATCCCAGTGGTTAGTGGCTGGGATTCTGACATGGTATCAGAGCGAAGATCTCGGGCTCAAATTCCGTTGTATGCACTTCGGGCATCCCAGTGCGGGGGGGTGTCAGAGGTCTACTGGTGATCCCCGATCAATCCTAGAGAAGGGTTACAGGCACGTCGGCCTGGGGGGTTATGGGCACACTCATTCGCTACACAAACAAGCCCTATTATCCCAGCGGTTAGCGGCTGGGATTCTGACACCTCGCGTTGGGTTTCTTGGGAGATGTTAGAGTCAATGCCTTAGGTGGTTAGAGAAAGAAACATAGTAGACAATGCATTGCATTGTAGCAGAAAAATAACCAAAGCATTATCTGTGCCCCAATCCAACCCATCCCTTTGCACATACACGCTAAATTTTCCTCACCAATGCATTCACCATGCTTAAGAAGTTGTGGACAAATGTGCGCCTATCGGTTTCAGACATTACTCGCTAATGATAGAGGGATTCTGGAGTGGAAACCACCTCAATATATTGTGGCGATTCTGCACTTGACTGTCTGGAAGAAGTGCACATCCAAACCACCTCACACCTGAAGCTGCTCCACCAACCTCTCAATCCAACCCTACTCCACAAACATACCTCCGAACGTTTCTTGTTTCTCTTCTACTCCTCCAAACCTGTTTTTTACCTCAAAACCCAGTCGCAAATCACAATTATTTCTAGTGCACTAGCTGGTGCCATGTGCCTAGTACGTGTTTGTCCGCCTTGTTACTAACAATGGAAATATAATTGTGCACTCCTAACCGCAGCAAAGTGAAGAACACAGTATCAAGGTTGAACGCGAAGAGTTAGAGTTGACTCAAAGCAACGCAGACAGTTTGAGTGGATCTGGACCGTCGGAGCAGACGGCATCGACAGCTGCAGGATCGAGAGAATTGGCATGAACAGTTTCGTAACTGTCCGTATCGCACGGTTGGGTATGAATTGGAATAAGGGAATGTACCCCCCAGAGAACATCGCTAGCTAGGTCGTTTCATATTCCCCCTGTATTACTATTTATATGCTTGTCCTTGCATGGTTTCATCATCTCAAACATTTTACATTCACTATGTTTGAAGGTCAAGGGCCCACCATTACCAATTAGCTGTGTGCGAACCTTCCCGAGGTGATCCTAGGTTCGATCATCACTTGATCGTAGCACACCTGCTTCATGAATCATATTTGCATTCCTTCTGAATTGGTAAGTACGTTGACATGTTTATATTGGTGTTCTTTGCTCAAGATGCATCGTAGATTGCTTGGAATGCATACAAATTGAAGTAAGATATATTCTTGTCTTCATGCCAAGTCCGCCTATATAACAGCAACACTATTAGGAATCACAATTCCTTACTGTACTCGCATTTAGCAAGTACAACCCGAAGGCCATGCGCCAGCCTGGTTAGGCCTACAATTCCGAACCCAAACCACACCGAGTCACCTCCGCACCAATCGCGACCTTTTGACCCAACCTTTCCCAACCTCTTCGCCTAGCTAGGTTTTCCCCTATTTAGGCCTCGCTACTTTCCTTGTATCGTCATTCTGTAGTTCATTCATTCTCTTTATTCGTTTTACTGCGCACTCTGCAAGTTCATTCATAACAAACACCATCCTCTCTTCGCATATGGAGTAATTCTTTGTGGTCTAGGTTGTCAACGGAATTTCCACCGATAGCCAAAATGGAATGCCAATAACACCACCATCTATGGTGTTGTGGTTGTCTAGCTCCTCCTTCCTGACCAGCACCAGGCTCACCATCAGGCTCTGTCCATATCCTCAACGTCACTGGAGCGGCTCACGTGTGGACTCGGCAACCGCCTTCAAAGATCACGATCGCTGCTAGCAACATGCCAGCGAGGCCTGGCGCCAACGGGCAGCAGAAAATACACGATCACTGCTGGCAACATGCCAGCGAGAGCTGGCGCCAACAGGCAGCGAAATGTCTATCATTTTCTTTATAATCCCTTGGGCGATTCGTGATTTGGAAATTCGTTCTATCGCATCACGTAAATTCTGGTTGTGGATCGAGAGAACCACCTCGCCTTTGCAGGCACACGGTGGAGGTTTCCCCAGTGCAATCCTTCCCTACCAACATCTGGTTGCCGCTCATGATGACGCCCTCCCCACTGGGATGGAGGTAGTTGGAGTTGGGGTTGACAGAATGACGAGTGAGGATGAGGCTGCACTTATCTCTCATACCCCCCTTCCCACCACTGCATGCAGCCCCACCCCGCCCCCGACAGCTCAGCTGAGAGGGCTGGAGGGTGAGTTGAGGCCGGTGCGACAACCACATGCAACCCAGCCACATGGGCCGGCGGTGCTCACTCATCTCTTGCTGGACCAGGTCACCCTCCCTCCCTTACAGACCTGGAGGCGCTGGAGCCCTCATCGGGCTTGGGGGCGGCTGTATCTGACTTGCTGGCAATACAGAACACTAGCATACCCCTCCCTACTCCCACCCCCCCGGCCCCAGTGGTACACGCCCACGAAGCCCCCCTCATGGACCTCCCTCTTGCAGCCCCCATCCTGCAGGAACCGTTTCACCCTTCTCCGATGGAGACCGATCTGATCTTCAAACCGTGCGCCTCTGACGCAAATGTAGGTGCACCACTCCTGCCTGCCTCTCCCCACCCATCCCCATCACCAGCCCTACCTATCACCACGTCAGATAGTTCCGAGGGCACGGCCATGGCCGACCCCACCGACACAGCGATGTCACCAGACGAGGCCGTGAGGTGCCCCACATGCCTGAGCTCCCTCGCGAACCGCCGAGCACTCCGACACCACATGCCATTCTGCCACCCTGCTGACGCAGCTCGCAGGGCGCAGGCCCCCCGCAATAGGGCCTCAGCTCTACCTTCCCTAGCAAAGCCCCGAGCCCAGGGGATGTAGTTCACAGATGCACTGTGGCGGTCGCTTGACTCCGTCCGGTGGTCGGAGTACTTTGCCCCGGAGCGCATTCATGCCCGTCCTCTTCGGCGTATCCCCCCGAGGGTTCGTGGTGGGTATCTAGACATCCTCTGCGCCATCTTAGCGCGGGTCTCCCAGGACCCAGAGGCACCAGGCCCTGGCACCGACGCTCCTACTGGCTTTGGCGACACCGCCAGAGTGTTCAAACACGGCCGCCATTGCAGCGCGCATCATCCGTTTTGGACGAGGTGAGTGGGACGAGCTCATCTCTGAGGCCCTACATCGACGTACCCGCCTTCCTCTACGAGCAGCACGACACGCTCGCGCCACCACCTCCTCCCCCACACTGGATGACCGTCGCATTGCCCGCTGCCTGTGTCTGGCGGCTTGCAATGAGACCTCGCGGGCCTGCGCGACCCTGGAGTCGGCAGAGGCGGCACCTGACACAGAGAGTACGATGCAACGTCTGCGGAGCAAGCATCCCGTTGCAGAGCGACCGACTCCAGATTGGCTACCGACTTTCCAGGATATTGCCCTTGTGCTCTCAATAGATCACCTCCGCCGCGCCATCTTCATAGCCCCGTGCGGGTCGTCCGGAGGACCGACAGGCTGGGTTGCCGAGCATCTTTGAGATACTTTCCTTGCTTATCCTGAGAGCCTCCCTAGCCTGCTCGCCGTGTACCAGCTTTGGCTACGAGGCTACTGCGCCCCGGCAGCTCGGTCGCTATTGGCATCGTCCACCCTGGTCGCTCTCGCGAAACCGAACCTGGATGTGCGTCCTATCGCGATAGGTGAGGTTTTGATTCGCATCCTTTCTCGCGCAGTATGCTTGCAGCTACGGGACCAGATGGCTAGAGTTTTCCTCACGTCACAGCAGTTTGGGGTGGGCGTTACCTGTGGGACAGAGGTCGTGGTTAGAGGCATTCGTCGCGCCCTGGATGACCACCCTGAGTGGGTGGTTCTTCAGCTGGACGTGGCAAACGCCTTTAACTCGTTTCATCGAGACGCCATGTTCCAGGCCCTCTACACTAGTGTTGAGTTCCGCTTTCTTATTCCTTTCATTCGCCTTTTCTACGGGACACCCTCCGATCTCCTCTACCGAGCGAATGGAGGGGTGACCACCATTCACTCGGAGCGTGGGACCCGTCAGGGCGACCCGCTCAGCCCTTTCCTGTATGCCCTCACACAGCGCGTGGCTCTACAGCCAGTTCTAGCTGAGGGCGATGTCCAGCTATGGTCATACGCAGATGACACTTACGTGATGGGCCCTCCTTCCACGGTGCTACACCACTTCGCAATGATTGTGAGGCACTTGCGCGAGCTGGGCCTTGCGGTCCAGCCACACAAGTGTCTCGTCTACGGCAGGGATTTTGTGACTTCCAGGGAGGTGGAGGCCTTCACGAGTCTGGGGATTGAGGTCGCTCGCAGAGGACTCACCGTCATGGGAGTGCCGGTGGGCTCTGACGCTTTTATGGAGAGGAGCCTACCTGAACGTCTGGAGAGGATGGAGCGCGTGTTGCCGTGGCTTCCGAGACTGCGCCAGCCCCAGACAGCGGCCCGTCTACTTTCGGCATGCGTCAGCACGCGACCGCAGTATCTGGCGAGGACAGTCCCTCCGACCCCGGCTTGAGAAGAAGTGAAACGAGAATGGATGAACTATGAATGAAGTGAGTACAAATATGAAACCCTAATTGGGTTGTACCCCCTATGGGATACCCCACTATAGCCTACACAAATAAGTAAGCTATAATGTTCTGACACACCCCCATAGGCAAAGTGGGGGAGAACAAGGGGTCACAAGACCAGTCAAGCAAAGCAAAGCAAAGCTCAGGGTGGATCACAAAGTCACCACACATTCCGAGCGCAAGGTCAAGGGCCACAAGGCCAGTTCGCAAGCAAGATCATATATAGAGATATACAAGAGTCAAGCAAGCAAGAGCAAGAGTATATATAGGTCAAGGTACAAGCAAGGTCAAGAAGTGAGCAAGTGAGGCAAGACAGGCACAAGACCCAGCTGCGTGCAGCAACGCTGATGATCACAAGGCGCAAGTGCCTTGGTGAAGACATCAGCAGTGTTGGCCTCAGAGGCCACGTACGCAAGTCGCAACTGTCCACGCTGCTGTAGCTCACGAGCAAGAAAGTAGCGGAGAGCAATGTGCTTTGTCCTGTGCTCCAGTCGCTGCTCTCGACACAAGGCCAGCATGGCCTTGTTGTCTACGTACAGGACTGGAGGAGAACAAGGCGGCTCTCCAAGGTCGGTCAGCAGGTAGGTGAGCCAGCGAAGCTCCTGAGCAGCCATAGCCCCGGCGTAGATCTCAGCCTCACAACTGGAGCCGAGAACAGAAGACGAGCGAGTAGCCCGCCACGAGACAGAGCCGGATCCAAGGCCGAAGGTGTAACCCTGTGACGACCGCTGCGTAGCCTGGTCGTCAGCCCAAGAAGCGTCCACGTGCCCAGTGAGGACCACTGGACTGCGCCCTCCAAGCACTAGCCCCATGCCCGACGTACTGCACAAGTAGCGCAACACCCTCTTCGCTACAGCCATGTGCTCTGGTCGGTGTCTCCCAGGAGCAACATAGCGCGCGAGAATGCTGAGAGGGTATGCAAGGTCAGGTCGTGTGCAGGTCATCAGGTACATGAGGCAGCCAACAAGCTCTGCATACGGGCCACTCGACTCTACGGACTCATCCGAAGGCAGAGCTGAGAGCGAGTGGCGAGTAGGCAGAGGAGTGGCCTGAGGCAAGGAGTACGTGAAGCCGAAGCGCTGAAGGACCTGCTGCACCATGTGTGACTGATTCAAGGTAATGGTGCGGCGTGCTCTGTCCCGGGTGATCTGCAAGCCAAGGTAGTTGCGCAATTCACCCAGGTCAGTGCACGTGTGTCTCTTCTGCAGCTCGGTCTTCACGTAGGCGAGTCCAGCAGTGTCCGCTGTGGCAAAGACCAAGTCGTCGACGTACACGAGGATGTAGAACGGTGGCAGAGAGGTGTCGGTGCGCAGAAACAGCGACGGGTCGGCAGTAGAAGGAGCAAACCCAAGTGCCGCAAGCGTAGTCCTCAGTGTGTCGTGCCACTCACGTGGCGCCTGGCGAAGACCGTAGACTGGACGCCGGAGACTCCACTGGGTACCAGGAGGAAAAGACCCAGTGAAGCCAGGTGGGCGACGCAGCCAGATCTCCTCGTGCAGGCTGCCCTGCAAGAAAGTTGTGCTGAAGTCGAGAGAGTGCAGCTCGTGGTCACGGTGAGCAGCAACGTGCAGCAGTACCCGAAGAGTGGTCATCTTCGGGGTGGGGGAGGAGGTCTGAAAGTAGTCAACTCCCTGTCGCTGATTGAAGCCACGAGCCACGTAACGAGCCTTGAAGACAGGCGGAGAACCCGGCGGCCGCTTCACCCTGAAGATCCACATGCCACTGACGATGTTCGCCCCAGGAGGGGGAACAGCGTCAACGTAGGTGCCTGTGGACTTCCAGGAAGCCATCTCTGCATCCATAGCTGCCTGCCACTGAGAGGAGTAGGGACCCTCTATCGCCTCCGCGTAAGAGCGCGGAGTCGGGATGTCTAGTGCATCCGGGTCTCCCTCAGGGGCGAGCAGTACAGACGCGAGATGAGGTGAAGCGGCGGCCAGACACTGGAACTCCTCCTGCCTGTCCTCAAGGACGTCCGTGCCTAGGGCACACTCACCCCCGACGGACGGAGGACAGGCAGACTCAGACTCAGCGACAAGACTAGCAGCGTAGTCTAGACAACAGCGCGCAGCAAAGTCGACAAGCTCAGTGACAAGGGCAGACGCAGCAGAAGACTCGAAGGAAGGGTCAGTGACAGCAGTAGCAAGGAGACGCTAGACAGTGGGACTGGCAGCACGAAGAGAGTCCGACTCCGGGTCGGCAAGAGCAGGAAGAGAGGAAGCAGGAGGAGAAGGCAAAGGGGCACGCTCCAGCAGCACTTCCAGCAGCACCTCCAGCACCCCCAGCAGCACCTCCAGCACCTCCAGCACCCCCAGCAGGAGTACCCGCTCCAGCAGCACTTCCAGCAGCAGCTCCAGCACCCCCAGCAGCACCAGGAGCACTGCCAGTCGAACCGCCAGCAGTAGTCTCAGCGCCAACACCCTCAGCAGTACCAGCTCCAGGAGAACCCGCAGACCCAGCAGCTCCAGCACCCACAGCACGAGCACCTACGGTACGCGCGGCAGCAGCACCCTCTGCAGCCGAAGAACCTCCAGCACCAGCAGCACGCCTCCAGCGCCGGGCAAACCACTCACGCAGCTCCTGTGGGGAGAGTGGCTCTCGGCGAGACGAAGCACCTCCAGGCGGAGAACCTCCAGGCTCAGCACCCTCAGGCAAAGCACCTCCAGGCGGAGCACCCCCAGTCTCAGCACCCCCAGGCTCAGCACCACCAGGCTCAGCACCCCCAGACTCAGCACCCCCAAACCCAGCACCCCCCAGACTCAGTACCCCCAGGCTCAGCACCCCCAGGCTCAGCACCCCCAGGCTCAGCACCTCCAGGCTCAGCACCCCCAGGCTCAGCTCCCGCAGCAGCACCAGAGTCACCAGTGACCTCGACAGGCTCGACCGCGTCTACCTGGGACACACCTGAAGGGGCAGGACCCTGAGGGGGGAGGGGGTCTACCGGGGGGGGACCTGGTACCAAGAAGAGCGGGGGCGGGGGAAGGGAAGGAGTGCGGTAGGGGAAGAGGCGGTAGTAGGGTACCGACTCATCGAACGTGACGTCCTGGGAGGACAGAACACGTCGAGAGGTGGGGTGGTAGAACTGCCACCCAAGGGCGTCGGGGGGGAACCCCAGGAAGACGCAGGGAGCAGCGCGAGGGGACAGCTTGTCCGCAGACAAGTCGCGGACAAACGCCCGAGATCCCCAGACCCGGAACGCCGACGCATCGCCAACCTTCCCCGTCCACAGCAGGGCTGGGGAGGTCTCCGGCCTGGAGACCCTGGGGTGGAGGTTGATCTGGTGCGCCGTGTACCGAACCGCAAACGGCCACAGAAAATGGGAGGCAGCCGCATGCATCATAGACGTACGAGCGACGTCCATGACCATGTCAATGCGGCGCTCTACAATCCCATTTTGCTGCGGTGAGTCCGGAAGCGTGAAGGTCTGGCGGATGCCTCGCGCACGACAGAAGGCACGTAGAAGGCCAGAGGAGAACTCTCCGCCTCTGTCCGAGTGCAGACGCAACACAGGAAAGTCCGAGCCAAAGCTCTGCCTGAGCTGGAGACGAGCTGCGCGGATCCAGTCGATCAGCACCTCAGTGACATCACCCTTGCTGCGCAAGGGGAAGACTGTGGTGTAACGCGAGTAGTCGTCAACCACCAACAGGAAGTAGCGCTCGTGACCGAGTCCACGGACGCGGGCAGGGCCCCACACGTCCATGTGAAGTGTCTGCAACGGAGCCTCTGTCGGAGGAAACTGGGAGTAATGAGGGGCAGCACGCTGGCGCCCCTCGACACAGGGGACATAGGAAGGGCCAGGGCCTTGAGGAAGGGGAGGGAGGGACCGGGGGAGACCAGACACAAGAAGACGGGAGGCCATGCCCCTGAGCCGAAGCAGAGAGGGGTGGCCAAGGTGGTGGTGCCAGAGGAGAGTCTCGTGAGACAGACGGCGACACGAACAGGGGGCAGACTCAGGACCAGACCTGGACGCTGCAGCAAACACCTGACCAGACGAAGGGACTCTACCAGACTCAGCACCGGGAGGAGAAGCAGTGGTCAGTGTGTACAGGCTCGACCCTGGCTGACGTCTAAACGTAGCCAGGTGGCGACCCGTGCTCGCCTCTGTGCAGTGTGTCACCCGCTGACGAGCAGGAGTGAACTGGTGGACCCCCACATCCTGTAGGTCAGCACCACTCACCAGGTTCGGAGAGAACGAGGGGAGGTAAAGACCAGTCAGGGTGCCAGAGGGAGCCGCCGGACACGGGAGGACTGTGGAGAAACGAGACAGGACAGGACCCCCAGAGGGGTCAGCCAGGGACACCGCAACAGGCCGACTAAGCGGCGTGAGAGTGGTGCGGTCCCGAAAGAAGGAGCGAGACGCCCCAGAGTCAAGGGTGAAGGTGTGGGAGGCAGAAGCCGACACAGTACCTGAGAGGGCAGACTCACTAGCACCTGAGAGCACAGACACACTGGCACCTAGGGCAGCAGCCTCACTGGCACCTGACACAGCAGTACCAATGCCCGGGTCGGGCGGAAAGCACCGGTAACACTCACCATCATCACTAACACTCACAGCATACATGGCAGCAAGGATAGCATCAAAGTCAAGATCAAACACAGCTACACCAGCCCTAGACAGCTCTCCCCAGCGGGGGATCTCAGAGGCCTCCGGAAACTGCTGGCGCCAAGCGTCGGTCAGGCGGGCAAAGCAGCGGCGAGCGGTGTGGGTGCCCCCACACTGCTCACCCGCGCGGTCGCCGGTGCGAAGGACGTAGGTGCAGGGACCGAACGCCCCACCACGCTGACGCTGCGAGTACCACTCACAAGGCTGCTGAGGGGCGGGGACGTCGCGAGAGCGCTGCTGCTGCTGCTGCTGCTGCTGCTGCTGTTGGCGCTGACCACCTCCAGTGCCGCTCCTCTGGGACGAGCCACTTCGACCACCTCCACCACCGCCACCCCCGCCTCCGCC